TGCGCATAATCTACGGGCCACTTGAACAACGTAATGAAATTGATTTAGGCAATACATGTTGTTTATGAAAGACCCACTCAAATGTGCGCCGAAACTACCGCTTTGCTTCACGCGCTCCCTTTTTTTACACCAGATCTTTATTCTCCAATGACCACTATATAAACCGGCGAGCACTGTTGTGCAATGTTGCACAACAGTGCACAACACTTGCGAAACCATAGCCCGTGCGTGAGTCGAACATGATGAACTGGCTGCGAGCAGTACACCTGGGTGTCGCAATCTGCCGTCTCTTCTCTCAAGTAGCAGCATCGTTATTACCATTATTATTCGCATTGTGTTTCTGCATAACACGGTATAAGAAACGCACGTATGAACTAAGTGTGCACCCTAGTTGCCTTGGTGTGTGTATACATATAATCAGAAATGTATAATGGCATTGAGTATTTAATACGGATTATTAGATGTTCCGGTAAAGAAGACGCACCCCTCCCAAACTTGTTGGCAGGTGTCAATTCAAGTTACACAGATCCAGTTACGTACACACACAAAGACAAAGCTCTCCGGTATAGCCTTAACATTTTTGGGGGCAGGTGCTGTTAGCGAGTACCTATGCAGGCCGGAACAGTACACGAGGGGGTGGGTGGCCAGCACCACGCCTAGCCACCTTTGTCAACCCGAGTGGCGATGTTGACACAACGCACCAGGTACTCATTTGAGGCTGAGTCGACCTAGGGAAGGCCCGGGACCGGTTCAGCTAATCGTCACTGGTGTTGGCCGTGAGCGGGAATCGAACCACCGCTCTCCACCGCACACACACACACCTACATACACGCTCACACCTACACACACGCACACCTACTCACACACGCACACCTACATACACACACGCACACCTACATACACGCACACCTACATACACGCACACCTACACCCACACACGCACACCTACATACACACACACGCACACCTACATACACGCACACCTACACACACGCACACCTACTCACAAACGCACACCTACTCACACACACACCTACTCACACACACACCTACTCACACACACACCTACTCACACACACGCTCACACCTACTCACACACACGCGCACACTTACACACACACGGACACCTACTCACACACACGCGCACACCTACTCACACACACGCGCACACCTACTCACACACACGCGCACACCTACTCACACACACGCGCACACCTACTCACACACACGCGCACACCTACTCACACACACGCGCATACCTACTCACACACACGCGCACACCTACTCACACACACGCGCACACCTACTCACACACACGCGCACACCTACTCACACACACGCGCACACTCGCACACCTACTCACACACACTCGCACGCCTACTCACATACACACGCACACCTACTCACACGCACACCTACTCACAACCCACTGGATTGCAAGACGTACTCCCAACCTTTGCTTTCAGGGGAGGAGGCAGAGGGAACTGCCGTCTTGCAATCCAGAGAATAGCCGTCATTCTGGAACCACCTGCCTATACAACCCCGGGCAAAAAAAAAACCGATGTCGCAACTGGAGCCATAACACTTGCGTGTAAGGTACCAAGTGCCTCGATATTTGTGTCCGCGTGTCCATGGTCACCTGTGATGTTTAACATTTTCGGGGTGGTTTTATTTTAGCAGTTAACTTACTTCCGACGCCAGTGCACGCAATGTCCAGCCATCGAGTTAAAAATACAATGGTCTCTGTACACCCTTACAATTCACTCACTGTGCAGCATAACGACGGCTGATATGAATTATTCAGCCCATGACACACACACAGTATATTGCCCGATCCACAGCCCATTCGTTCAATTTGCCACCATTGTCACCCATGACCAATCCACTGCTGGACGAAGGCTAACCCCAAGCCACCATCAAATGTCACGATCCTGCGATCTGATAAACCACCTACTTGCACATGATCTAATTTCACCGTCCTCTTGGTCGAATTCCATTAATTGACCAATGCACGCAATGACTCACTGACAGTCCTTCAGTTCATTCATAATTCACCGTAATACACCCGCCATAGGAATCATTGGCAATGTCCGTGATAGTTGTTTGCCCGCGTGGGCGACTCCCCAGGAACGGAATGACATGAACAATGCAGGCATATTAGACACGCGAATGAAAGGGCCTCTTGTGCATTGGACCATCCTGTTGCGTGAGAACATTTTTAAACGATAAAAACGCCTCAATGGTACTTACGTTACATTTTGCAGTCAACAGGGATCAATCCATTGCTGTGGATCAAGGTCTCTGCAACCCATCACGAGCTCAGGCACACAAATAAATTTCATAACTCCCATCTCCAAGGTGTGATTACATATTGGGCATCACACTCCGGCATTAATCTTGTTCAATATAACGTCTAGCTATATGTCCTACCCAAGCCCACTTACTTTTGTAAGTCAATGTTTCTTAACTTGTGGATGCACTCCAATCCATGCGTTTTCCTGTCTCTCAGTAGCATTCCAAACATACATCTCTCCATTATTCTTGGCACACTTTCCAGGTTTTTTTCCTTCCATTTTCTTTGCCAATGTCCATTATTCGTATCCACATTTTGCCAATGTCCATTATTCGTATCCACATTTTCTTTGCCAATGTCCATTATTCGTATCCACATGTCATAGCAGATAATATAATATGCACCAATTCAAACTGTATTCTTGATGTACGTTGGTATTTAATTTTTAGTGATTTTTTATTTAGAATGACTGTCATCAGTTTTACATACAGTTTTGCATGTGTTTTCCAGTGGTATCCCTCCCTCCAAAAGATATATCTAAATTCATTTAGACCTCCTTTGCCAGTACCAAAATGTAATAATAGGGGTTTCCCCCTTTTTTCTGGCAACAAAACTGAAACCTTTTTACGAGGAATCGTGTCTGCATTAACCACAATACCTGCAGTCAAAATGCAAACAAAATACAAACTATGATAACATATGCATTGTCCTTGAAACTGATTGGTCCACACCAAGGGACGGCTTTCTTTTGAGCCTCGACCCAATTGGTGCTCGACCAGATGACGCCAAAAGGCGTACAGCTCAAAGACAATGCACTATCAAAGTAATCAGGGCTCGGGGTGAGCATCTACATCATGAAAAGGTTTCAGTTTTGTTGCCAGAAAAAAGGGGAAAAACCCTGTTATTACATTTTGGTACTGGCAAAGGAGGTCTAATGGTGTAGATGCTCACCCCGAGCCCTGATTACTTTGATAGTGGCATTGTCTTTGAGCTGTACGCCTTCTGGCGTCATCTGGTCGAGCACCAATTGGGTCGAGGCTCAAAAGTCTCAAAAGAAAGCCGTCCCTTGGTGTGGACCAATCAGTTTCAAGGACAATGCATATCTTATCATAGTATGTTTTTTGTTTGCATTTTGACTGCAGGTATTGTGGTTAATGCAGAAATGAATCCTCGTAAAAAGGTTTCAGTTTTGTTGCCAGAAAAAAGGGGAAAAACCCTATTATTATATATCTAATTGTTTAGCTAACTTATTGTACATGACTGAAAAGTGGTTTGATTCCTGGGGATATGTGATATTGTTATGAGAGAGATATGCATAAGAAACGATCTCTGGAACGTGTTCTATTTCCAGATTTCTCCCGATGGGCGACCATTTGTGAATTGCCATCAGCAACCTCAATTTTGATGCATTCATGCTCCCGTTTCTTTCCTTGACCTTATCCTCCTTTTTATAGTGCTTCTGTGATATATTTTCTTATTATTTTTTTCTGATCGTTTGACAGAAGAATTTTCCATACATATTCACATTACCATTTATCACCATTGATATGCAGATGCGTTGACCCAACCAACAAGAATTGTTCTGCAGAAATATGAAGCTATGTGCTGTCCTTTCTACAATCGCATTCATCACACAAACCTTGGTGTGCAATTAACAAGGAGACCCATAGCGCAAGGACGAATATGATGTGTACTTATCGACCTGTTCCCAAATAATGTGAGATAAGATACCTATCTACTGACAGGTCTAACTATAGATGCACGCGTGTCTTAACACCATCGGCCATGGTCAATCCACTGCTGGATGAAGGCCTGCTCAAACCACCACCATCTCTCAAAATCCTGCGATGTAATTAATCCACCTTAGCACCTGCAAAGAAGCTGATTTCATCACTCCATCTCCTCCAAAGGAACACCCTTTCGGACGCATTCCATTCCTTACAGTACTGTCTATATGTATCTCATGGTTAATGGCTTGCGACCTTTTGTTCAGGTAAAAATTACCAACAAAAAGACACGAGTTCAGTTAGGAATTATAATGATGCAGTGAATTTCATATACAAATCTGGCTGTCGCCTGGTGAAGCTAGTTGTAATTACTGGCGAAACGTCGTACTTAGATAGTAAATGTTGTGGCTTGGCTCTGCAACACACCGGTGTGCTGTACTGGTAACGAATTGGCCACGTTCTGTTTACCTGACAACCCTTACTAGTTGGCTATGTCGGGTGGTGGCGGGTTTAACGACACATTCATATATTTACGCGATATAACCCCCCAGAAAAACATGTATAATGGATATAATATAATATACTGTCGGATGCAAACGTGCATCGACATCATGAAGAGCAATAGGGAGCATTGATGACCGGCAACGCTATTGAGGAAAACGCGTTCACTCAACCAAGTCCATAACACGCTCTGCGAATGACGCTTCAAGTGAGTCGGCAAACCGAAACGAATGAATAAAGAAACCGGAGAGCGTTCCCGACGATTACAATTAAATCAATTAATGGGCAACATATTCCGGATAGCACTTACTGCTGGGGGAGGAGTGAAAAAGAGACTCGCGTGCGGGGGGAAGGAAGTCTCCCCCCCCTCCCCCCAACATTGTGACTGACGTCCTCACCACCGCTGTTGCTAACTCTGCGCGCGAGAGTGGTGTGTGTGTGTGAGTCTCTATGGCTGTGACTCTCTCTCTCTCTGTGCATGTGTGTGTGTGAAGGGAGAGAGAGCACGCGTGGGGAGGTGGTGGGGTGGGAGTGTGCGCGCTCAGGAAGTGATGTAACGCACTCAGGGGGCTTGCTGAGTCAACGCGGCATTGGCGTCTGCGGCCACTCCTAAAGCAGCTCGCCTCACTTCGTCCGTCGTCGATCTTCTGCTGCTGCTGCTGCTTCTTCTTCTCCTGCGCAGCGCCCGTGTGGGGACGGACAGACGTTGGCCATCAACTCGACTTCAGGAGGCGACCGGCGTCATATCTCGCTCTCTCCTCCGTCCACCGGGCAAACATCCCTCCCACCCCACCCCCATGCACTTGCCCATCGCATCCCTCCCTCCCGTCACCTCGTCGTTAGCAAGTGCACATCTTTTTAATCTGTTGCGCTGGTGGGCGGAACGTGCTGCGCAAATGAGACCAACGCTGGTGCCGTAGGGCGCAGAGACAGAGAGAGAGAGGGGGGGGGAAGGAGACGACACGAAGCCTTTGTTGGTGCAGGGGAGCGGCAAAGGTTTGTCGGAGAGGACCCCCTGAGAGCTTGGTGTCGGAATACGGCAACGGACAAAAAAAGGAGAATCGGCGGTGACGGCAGCGGCAGTGACAGCGGCGGCCACGGCGGCGGCGGCACGTGTCACGAGGGAAGCCAACGAAACGACATCCCCGTGGGGTGGTAGCCACGTGCGTCGCCGGGGCTGTTGAGTGCGCGCGGAGCCTCCACCCCCCTCCCACCGAACCTGGCTCGGAATCCCCCCCCCCCCCGCTCCACAACCACCAAACCCATCCCGGGTCTGCGAACATCAGCAGCAGCAGTAGCAGCAGCAACAAGAACGACAAAAGGGACACTCGAGTACTGGCACCCCCCTCCCACCGTCCACAATGGACAGCGTCTTCTCAACTTGGCCCAACGTGGAAGCTCGGGTCTCTGCCCGAGGACAAGCGATGGCCTCTGCATCGTCCGCTCCTCCTGCCGCCGCAGCTGCCGCAGCAGCAGCCGCAGCAGTAGCGGCAGCTGGTGGCGTCGACGGATCGACCGGCGTAGCCACTCAGCCGCGCTTCGAGAAACCCGGACTGGAATCGGACGAGCGGACGACGATGGTGGTGGCGGGCCCTGGGCACGGAGACGCCGGCACGTCGGGCCTGGCCGGGTCGGTCTGGGGTTCTCCGTGCAGCCCGCCCCAGAGTCCCGGCCCCGTCTCGTCGTCGCACGCCGTCTCGAAGATCGGGCAGTACCTGCTCCTGGGACCCGTGGCCGGCGAGAGGGTCTTCCGAGCGGTGCACGTCCACACGGGAGAGGAGTTCGTGTGCAAGGTACGGCGTTTGCTGATTTCCGTCACAGCACCCGACTCCCTGAGATTTTAGCGCAACGACGGTACGGTGCGAAGGAAGTTCAACGCGCAAACTGCAACGCGCGCATCGACGGCTGTTGTTTGGCGGGGAGCCACTCTGCATGGCCGTGCTTACTCCGAGCGAGAGACCATGAATGGGGATGTGTGTTGCTCGCGGTCTAGACCAGGTAGAGGTTGACAATGTGTCAAATTTAGCAGTTTGTGTAGTAGGTTCGTGTGTAGTGTAGTGTGTGTGCGGGTTTTTTTTATGACGGGTGGAACAACGATGCAATTGGCCAGTGCACTGCCCTATTAAGAAGTATGAACCTGGCAGACCCGGGGTTCTATTCCCGGCCACGGCTTACATCAATCGGTGGTTTAATGTTCACTTACTCGGAGCGATTCGCCCACCCCTTCCCAATCACCCACGCCTTCACCAACCCGCAATGACCAGCGTGGTGAAGCATGGTCCCGACAAAACCCACACGACCGACGAGGCGTTGGGGTAGCCCTCCGTACAGGAGTGGGGTTGAAAAAGGGATATACATAGAATGTGATCTATATAATTGCTCTGCGCGTGCGTTTTTTGTTTGTTGATTGCTCTACTTTCAATTGAACAAAGGCGGTCCGGTGTTTCCGTGTAAAACCAAACAAAAAAGACGTTATTTTGGTGACAGAGGAACGGTGTGATGATCATATTCATCAGCATCGCCCCTTTGCGCATGGGACCATTAACAGCGCTTGCGTGATTGACATCTCCTCCGGCATGAAGCGGAGAGGGTCACTATCGTAAATACAGACTTAAACGCCGGTCATACGTCCACTTTTCGGGCAGCGTTGCCATTGACGTGGCTTGTTTGGGATTTTAGAATGACGAAGGCTTATCCGGATGGCTACGCATGCCTGCGTGGCCCTTTAGTCTTTGCCGATGCAGTCTAGGTGAGCACAGTAATAGCACGGACATGTCATGGATTTTACGAAACCGTTGAATGGGAATTGTGGTTATCTAGAATTGTGGTTATTGTAAAACTGTCAGAGCGCGTGCTTGGGCGCCACCTCTTAGCGACTGTGGGTGGGGGGAGGGCCCTTTCGTGTGACGATTCCGTGTCAATGGAATACAAGCGCAGCGTTCACGTTCTTAAAATATTCGAAAGAACCAAGAATATGAATCCCTGCCGTCACGAAAGCTTTAAATCAAAAGATCTTAAAGTATGTTTTTTCTTTAAAAAAAACGAACAACACAGTAATGGACTTAACGCTGACGAACGGTTGATGAACATCGGTTACCATTTATCAATGGTGACGATTTCAGAATAGTTGATCGACGACTGATGTTATGAGTGATTGGCGGTCGTGGAGAATGCTGATGATAATTACGATAAAGTAATGAATAACGATTAGTGCTGCAAGTCCTGCTGATTGGTGAGTGATGATGACTGTTGAGGTTAATGGTCAAGTCACGGTAATGATCTTGATAACGGATGGACATTGATGCGCGATCGATAACCGCGAGCGAGGGCTTTTAATGATCATGACGAGCCATTAATTTGACTACGACGATGAGCGATCGATGATGTCGATACACCGTTGTAGGCGATGACGGCGAGTGATTATAATTTTTTATCACGATAATCGTAACGATATCCAATGCCGATGACGGCGAGTAAGTGAACAAAGAGTGGAACGGTAGCAGCGACGACGCGCTGCCGTTGACGAGTGAAATTGCTTCCGATGACCGCGACAATGTGATTTGACTCCGGCGATGATGATGATGATTGATGACAATGGTGATGAGTGGGACTTCATTTATCATGGAACAAGTTCCGTGCCTCCCAACCCCCCCGCCACGCCAATATTATTGACGATGTTATTTACGGGGGGGGGGGTGCTGGTGGTGTCTATCACTGCGGTGGTGGTTATTATTGAACGGTTATATATTTACGATGGTATTTCTGAAAGTGATTGTAATAATTTAATGAATGTAATTTTTATTTATTGATGATGATATTCCGGTGAACAAGGTTTTCTACGTGCGGTGCGAAAAGTTCTACATGAATACATTCATGATAGCGATGGCCATTATTGAATGATAATTATTTATTGATTGATGATAATTGACTCTTCTCCCCCCCACCCCGGCTCCCATTCTGTCATTTCCTCCGGGCCCTCCCCTGCCTCCCTCCCCTCCCCTCCCTCGCCTCTGTCTTTTCCCACCCCTCCCTCGCCTGCCGGCTGCCCCGGGCCACAGGTGTACGAGCTGTCGCGCTGGCAGGAGAACCTGGGCGCCCAGCTGCGCCTGAGCGCCCACCCGCACGTCTGCGCCCTGCTCGAGGTGGTGCTGGGCGAGCGGAGCGCCTACGCGCTGCACGAGCGCGCGCATGGCGACATGCACGCGCACGTGCGCGCCGCGCGCCGCCTCGCCGAGCCGGAGGCGGCTCGCCTCTTCCGGCAGATCGCCGGCGCCGTGGCGCACTGCCACGGCGCCGGCGTGGTGCTGCGCGACCTCAAGCTGCGCAAGTTCGTCTTTGCCGATGCCGACAGGTAAACGGCTCGAAGGCTTGCGCGCGTGCGTGTCTGCGTGCGTGCGTGCGTGTCTGCGTGCGTGGGGAAGCGGTAGTGTGGCGTGTGTGTGTGTGCGGGGCTTGCGCTACGAAGCCGGCGAGCCGATTTCGGTTCCCGCTCACGGCCAACACCGGCGACGATTAGCTGAACCGGTCCCGGGTCTCTCTCCTAGGTCGACTCGGCCTCAAGTGAGTACCCGGTGCGGTGTGTAAACATCGCCACTGGGGAGACAAAGGCCGTGGTGCTGGCCGCCCACCTCCTCCTGTGCCATGCCGGCCTTCATAGGTGCTCGCTAACAGCACTTGCCCCAACAGCCTCTTAAGGCTCTGCAGGAGATCTTTGTCTTTGTGTATAAATCGATCGATGAAAAGTTAATCCCCCCCCCCCGCAATACCCTCCGACCCTGAGAATAAAACCCGTAAGGTTCCTATGGTCACAATACAGAGAGATCACATTTGTTTAGTGCCGTGCGTTTTTATGTTGCCACAACGTGGTGGTGACGTTCACAGCGGCACATTCGAAATGTTCTCCTGTACGGTATCCATGCCGTAGCCTGTACCGCATCCCTCTCGAGAGACTGGGAGACACGACCCGTGAGATGAGAACCGCTGACATGAACAGGATTATTTAAAACAATAGCAGGCGAGATTCTGGCGTACACCTGGGACTCGAGATCTCGACGCAGTGTGTTGCTAATTCCACAGCCACAAACACGTGGAGATTTAGAGCGATGCAACTCGTTTGATGAGATCTTCACCCTACTGGATTGTCGATGTCAGAGTCTACTCAATGAGATGGGCTGACAAGCATCCCGTTGTGTGGTGTTGGAGCTATCGATAAAAAAAAAAACATTTAACGTGATTAAAAGGAATATTTTAAAATATGTGAATCTCGCTCTTCGACTCGATGGAAATCATCACATTGAAGCCCCTATGTATATTACTCGCTTATCAATCCATTGCCGTCTCGTTTGCCCTGACCTTCCCGTAATAATGTTCGTACTATGGAATGAGACGTCTCCACCATCATTTCCTTTCATTTGCGGCAGAGAAAAACCCCATGACTTTTCTTCAAGGGGAACTTTGAGCTGAAATCACAATTAGATTGAAGGGATGGGCATTTTCAGATCTTGAAGTCAGGGTGGGGCCCATTTGGCCACATCATCCTAGTGACATTTATCTTGGAACAGAAACAGCCAGGCTTGCAATGGTGAAGTGGGAACAGCTGCCGTTGCAAAATGTATCATTCCAAAGTCTTTCTTGCAACAGAATCTGTCTCAATGGGTTTCACACCTGGTTGCCAATAATGAGCTGATGCAGACTTTACGTAATGCAGTTTCTCACACAAATATTAATCGCCACACATTCGCTGGCCCAGTTATGTGCCTTTAGTCACCACTGTCATTGGGATTCCATGTGCATTGCCTGCGCTCTTGCCTATACCATAATTTAATGAGATAATTCAAAGTCAAATTGAATTCCTGCTCAAATGAGCATTGAGGCTGTGCTCATTTCTCATTTGCAGCCTTTTAGCCAATTGTGGAGATTCCACATTCCTATTTCGGGGTCGAGTCTGTCGATAAGGCAATAACTGTTGACTTGCTCACAATGTGGTATATTAATTGTATTGACCCTGGAGGGGTGATCAATTGAAACCATCTATTGGGCCTCATAGATTCAAAATTCCTTCAAGATTGTTTTGTCTATTTGCTCCAGGGTAGACCTTGCGTGTCATCAAATCATGTCCCGAGCATGCTTGTATCGATCATTTTCGAAGGTGTGTTTCGGGCCATTTAACTTGTTGTATTTGACAATCTTTAAGATTCGCGGAGGAGGGGGGGGGGGCAATCAATTTACGTTTGCTCGTGCTAGAGCCCAAACCATGCGCGGCTTGCACTTCACGCGCGTTTTATGACATGGGTAATATTTGAGGCTGTGACATGAGAATCGTACAAGAACTGCTGCCGCGAGATCCCCTGGGCATCATCGTTCATGAAATCCCGACGACTCCTCTCTGCGTGTGGTTGACCCCTTGCGTCAGAAATGGGAATTGCCCGTTGTTGTTTGCTTATTATTATTCGTCTTCTGCACTGAAGAGACGTCATGGACAGCCACGTGAAGACAATCCTCTAACACGTCGATGTGACACACGAATAAGTGATAATTAAAATTACATATTTCAGGGGAGGATAAAGTGAGAGCCGGCGATCTGCGGCTGCACAGCTAATCACGTTTCCACAACAATAACCGCGTATTGGATAACGATGCACAATGCATTACGTAAAAAATAACAATTAGAATGATGTGGATTATTGACAAGTCTTAAACCGTTGGTATATACTGCACTTTGTAACCATTCTCTCAGTTCCTCCGTTTATTTCTTTTTTTCTGAAGTGATTTGGTAAATGCCTCCTGACGGGGGGGGGGGGGGGGGGATTTCTTTGGCAGGATGCCACTATTCTCGATGCCGCCTAGCACATAACGTGACATTTCTGCAAAAAATGCTCCCAAGGTCACTTTGGTGAAAGCTCAATTCTTTGGCGTCTGTTCCTTGTGAGCATTTTGCACCGGATTGTAAAAGGCTCCCATTCAGAGGCTGAGAACTGAGGGTATTTTGTACAGTAGCTAGGCACCGGGGGCGTATGAAGCGAGGGAGGAGGGCCCTTGCTTGCATAAGCACGTATTTAATCAACTTGCTCCGTGAATATGACGGTGTTTATGGGTAATTTTTTAAGAGTGACCGCGCAGGCGCATGCGTGATCATTGGTTCGGTTTTTTTGTGGCGGAGAGCCACTGCCAAAATATGTCAAGGGAGGAGGGGGAAAAAAACTGTTTACGCTGCACTGTTACCAGATTTTGTAAGCCGTGTGTCAACAGCATAAGGTATTGATGTTTTAGTGATTAGGGTTATGCAAAATAGTTTTATCTTGTGCAAATATTGTCCCGCTGTTGAAACTTGGCTGTTAAGGGTGACGCAATGATTGATACAATACTTGCTTGTTTTGGTCTTGTAATCGCTGGTCAGGCCGCCCACCCCCAACAGCTGACCTCATGCAATTGGGGGGTGCGGCAGCGGGGGGGGGGGGGGGCTAAACAGCGTTCCAGATGGCGAAATCGTGGAACCTGAAATTGCCAAACTTTGAACGCGATACTTTTCTTTCCCGCGAACCCCACAGGACCACGCTGAAGCTGGAGAGCCTCGAGGACGCGTACGTCCTGCCGGACGACGACGTCGACGACGACTCGCTCTCCAACAAGCACGGCTGCCCGGCCTACGTGAGCCCCGAGATCCTGAGCGCCGGCTGCGCGGGCACGTACTCTGGCCGCGCCGCCGACGTCTGGAGCCTCGGCGTGATGCTCTACACCATGCTCGTGGGACGCTATCCGTTCCACGACGCCGAGCCGGCGGCGCTCTTCCAGAAGATTCGCCGGGGCCAGTTCTCGGTGCCCGACTGGGTGTCCCCGAGGGCGCGGTGCCTCATCCGCAGCCTGCTGCGGCGCGAGCCTTCCGAGCGGCTTCAGGCGGCGGAGATTCTGGAGCACCCCTGGTTTCGGATGGACGGGTGCGGATTTACTTCCAGACCGTGCGGGTCCCGGGAACGCGAACACAACGACCAAGTGGTTCCCGACGTGGACATGGCCGAGTCTGAGGACCCCTTTTTCAGCTGAGGTGTGGAAGAGAAGCGAAATTCGGTTTCACTGGAATATTTTTTTGTTTTTAGATTTTTTTTTGTTTGTTTTTTAACCATCTGCAGAAGAAAAAAACAATAACTGAGCTATCCTCCTATGGAGATGTGTAGACACGGAAAGAAAAATTAGACTGTAAATTCCAGTGGTTTGTTTACAGACATTTTGAGCGAATGTTGGTCAATAAAAAAAACTAAAGCTTGTGATTATCCAAAGTCATGCCGGATGATACAAGGTATTGTTGGGTGAATAGTTTATTGATAAACATCTTGGTTGACTTAAAGAGTTCCGTCATGTGATGAAAAACACTTTACACAATGTGACTGCGATTTAAAGGCCTCCGATGCCTATAGATTAACACTAGCGAAACAAGGTGGTCTTGACATGGGAAAGCTGTTGAAAACTTGAGGAAGAAAACTTGAAAACAATGTTAGGACTGGGGTTGCCTGACTGGACTTCATCTTTCCAAGCATTTTTGTTAATACATGTGTAAATAAGACTTGCCAAGTTTACATTGGGTCTACTAACTATCAAAATTGTTACTGAATGTGTCCTGAACCAGTACTGATCCAATGAAATGTGGCCGCCACTTATATTAATTGTTGAGCCAATGGATGTTGAATCTTCTTCTCTTCTTCAAAATGTTAATATCGTTCATAGGATTTGCAGAGAAATAGCCTACCCAGTTCATGAGTCCAGTTCCTGTTTTTTTTATTTCCAAACTACACCTTACTCGAAGTTTAAACTGTCAAAGATTTCCAGTACCTGTGGCACAGGACAAGTTTATTGAAGTTAATATTTTGTCTGTTGCAAACAAATGTAAACTGCCTACTATTGCCCTTCTGTGCCATTTGTCAGTAATGCCACTGTGAATTTCTCCTTAACCGGCGTCTTGTATAAAATCCTTGTATATACTTTTTTTTGTAAGTGTAAACACTAGACTGATAGCCCCATTTTTGTACAAGTACCAGTTGTGCAAGCGTTAACAATTGTTATTGTGCATATGTATGTGTATTTTGTAATAAAAAAAGAATTTATTAACACTGCTTTACCGTTGTTATTATTACAATGACATGCCATAATAATGATTTACCGCAACAAGTCACTCATTAACAGTGAGTTTTTTTTCCTGTATTATAGCTAAGGGTTGTCTTTGTGTCAACTCCTCTAATACCAAGCCTCCAAAAACATAACTCTGCCTGGATGGGTAGGTGAATCCACCGATGAATGAAGGCCTCTTCACACCAAGTTGGGACATGGGTATAGTTTTTCCATATATTCCCGCACTGGTCAGCATGAGTTTATAAAGTGGTAATGGAGGGGGGGGGGGTAAACCAGGTTCAGATATCACCACTGATGTTAGCCGTGGCCGATCATTAAACTCGTATAGCCAAGGTTCAGAGTGCAGGGTGCTAAACACTTCCCCATTATATTCTTGGTTCTTTTGGTAAAGTCACGTAGAAGGGAAACAATAAAATAATAAAAATATAAAACTATAAAATACATTTTTATTTTCATTATTTTATTATTTCCCTTCTACGTGACTTTACCGAAAGAACCAATAATATGAATCCCTGCAGTAACGAAAGCTTTAAATCAAAAACTAAAACTGCCCCATTACTTCGCCCCAACACTATAGCCACAAACTAATAGGCAGTCTCACAGACTCCCTTCATGTCAAAAATAGTTTGCACAATGTGACTACTGTACAATAAAAGGCTTGCGATGCCCATTGATTAACACTACCGAGACAAGATGGTCGTGAAGGAAAAGATGTTGAAAGCTCGGAAGAATAATTGAAAATCATGTTTAGGGTTGGATTTTTGAACTATTGGACTATCTTAAAAATGATGGTGAAAGTCATGCTACTTTTAAACTGTGCTGAATTAACTTTACACTATTTGATGCATATAAAAAACATACAGATATATAAAAGAGGAAGCCTTGGGGTATAATTATATTTAAATGTGCCACATTTGCATGATGTAGAACACCCCGCTTCCCTTCATGTACAGGTGGTGGTTAAATTCATTAGAAACGAGCAAGGCTCACTGAATTGTAATTAGAGGCTTCAGATTTCTACCATTGTTCGAATGATTATAGGATTAGCCTAACTTTCAATGCGCCTGAAGACGAATTCTCTTGACAGCGGCTACAAACGACAACCTCACCAGAGGGTTTGATGGCTCAAAAACAAATGATTACATAGAGTGCTCGTTAGAGGGCTAATGGGATCACACATTGATACTTTTGAACATTAAATAATTGTCCACACATCTGCTTGTGCAAGTCCATAACACCCAGGAAAATTGTTCTTTTTATAATTAACCTTCAAACTACCTGTACACAGGTGGTTGTGAAAGCACTCTCTGGTTGGCAATCTAGCAAAAATGCATAACAAGATACCGAATACATCAAATATTTTGTATGCTGCAAGAATTGGCCACAAATGTGCACTGGATGCATTTTTACATACTTGAAACATATCCACAATTTGTCTGAAGTAAACCACCATGATTAAATGCATTAAACCGCCTTAACCTTACAGACCAGACTCTGTTGAATTCCCACACCAACTTTTTTTTTACGTGCCAACTTTCCACTTTAGCGGTGCCAAAATAAATTGTGCCGTTTGGAAGGACAGTCGAGTCTCATGGCCAGGCAAAGGAAACCCTGTGCCCAGACTCCTTTTGCTCTCTCTTTTCGCAGCTGCCAAGGTTGGAAAGCAAGTAATGAGGTCCCACAGGGGCTTACAATCCTGCTGTACGCCTTCAAATATGCACAGCTCAAACGATTAATCCCATCAGCTACTGTATTATGAAAAATAACCACACTGCGGTGACAGACAATTTTTACAAACCACATCAATTATCCAAGTGTATTCTGGCTTGATAATTGCTGATTCATAATACATGCCCTATCCACAAATGGGCAAACCTCTTGATATGAATACCTTTCATGGCTGATAGAACCATATGAAAGAAATAAGGCATTTTTTTTTTCAAATTCAAGCTGTCCACATGAATAAACTCACAATGAGATTCAGTTAATTTAACACTGGCATTTACAAGGACATTGGCGAACACGACTGCTGTGTGTGTTCACCAGTCAAAATAATTAAATAATGCCTCAATTATCCTTTACTCAACTATAAAATGCATTCTCGGTGGAAAAATAACCAAAAAACCCTATAATAAAATACACTTTAGTGGAATCAATTTACTCACACTCGTTCATGTCTTACTATACAACGAGCATATTTTGTACAAGAAACCCATGTCAGGCAATTTAACACCCACTAGTCCTTCACAACATTTAATGTATAAGGTAATGTTGCGAAAAGACAGCCTGCTTTCAGTCTGTTGCATGAACACCCCCAGAAATTTCATGGTGATGGCAGTTTAATTTAAATTCCAGCTGGTTACGTCATTGTTATGAAGTGTATATGGGCAACACGCACGTCCTTTGGACGTCACCGTCCATCCGTCCATCCACCAGTCCAGCCAGCCAAGCTAACCAAGTCAGATAAGTTAACCAAGTCAGCCTAGCCAAGCCAGCTATGTCAGCCATGCCAACTCAACCAGCCATGCCAGCCAGCCATGCCAGCCAAGCCAACCAGCCACACTTGTTTTTATAGATATATTATAACTATGATTGATGTGTGTGGTCAATCCACCACTTAAGGAGGGCCATGTCATGTCATCGAGGGGGTTATTTGACCATACTGTACTGTACGCTGATCAACGTGGGTTCATGCAGGCAGGGAGCATAGAATTTAAGTACAACAATGCATTTTGCTGCTCTGCCCTCTGCTGACCACCGCGTAGCACAGAAAGTCGCCTACGACAACCTGGCATGCTTTACAGTCTCCCATCCAAGCACTATCCAGGCACCATGTTGCGGCGAACAAAACACTACTCACGCACGGCACTAAACAAATGTGAGCTCTCTGTATTGTGACCTTAATAGTTGTAATCTCAGGGTTGGGAGGGTGTTGCAGGGGGGAGTGGCAACTCTAGAATTAACTTTTCATTGATCGATTTATATACAAAGACAAAGCTCCCCCTTATACCCGTAACAGACTGTTTGGGCAAGTGCTGTTAGTGAGCACCTATTAAGGCCGGTACGGCACACGATGGGGGTGGGTAACTAGTACAACACTCTTTTTCTTCCCAGTACTGTTGTTTACTGGAGAGACAAATGCCTGTTTGCTGATGTTTACATCAACGCACCAGGGTTTCATTTAAGGCTGAGTCGACTTAGGGAGGCCCAAGACCAGTTCAGATATCCATCAATTCAGCTTCCCGCCTTAATTTATGGAAATTGTAAATAAAATAAAATATTGATCTTTAGTTTAATTCAGTCTAAAATACGTTCACCTGGAAACAAATTCAGTTTACATATTGAAACATTTTTACTAAGATTGCCATGCACAAGATATAGACGTGTGTTTATTGTGGTCAAGCATATTTCATGCGTTTCCCCCCCCTTCCCTATTTAAATTGGCACATGTTGTGTATGTTTAACAGTGTGCTAATATATCCCAAGAACTCACCAAATAAAACACAGCTGCAACAACACTCGTCGAATAGCAAATATTGATTAATACAACAAGCAAAAAATAACATGTGCTGGTACTGTAAGAGGTTAAGAAACACTCTTTGTTAAGTGAGTTTTGAAATCCTACGTTGGTATTACTTGCAAAAAAACCTGTATTGTGAAAAAACAGAGGAATGTACAGCGGTTTGGCAGTGCACATATATCTGCCCCATAGCGGAGGAAATGGAATAGGATCCATAAAGCCATTAGTCCCGGAAGGGTCTGTTTCCAAGAGAGGTAATTGCAGCAGTTGTAAACAGAGGACGATGTCGCCAGAAGTGAGGAATAAAAGCCACTTGCTGGGCCATCCTGCTGAGCAGCAGCTCCCTGTTGTGCCCTCTTGGTTCCAAAAAAAAAACCTGGCATAGCTCTAAGGCTCGCACCATTATTGGGGTCATGGCCTCAGCTTTATTTGCACGCAGTGTCTGGAGGAGTTCACGACCCCGGTGGATTTTAACGTTAACGATGAAGACCAAATTAATGTCGATTTAGAAACGTTTGCTCAACTTTTGCCTGCCGAATGTCCAAGACCAACCGTGAAGCGGTAAGCGGTGTGACTTCTGATGGGCTACCAGAGGAGGCAAGGGGGGGGGGGGACATTGTGTTTCCACTACGCTCGTTCATGGCTCAGGGCAGCTTGTCAGATTGCACGCTGGCTATCTTGGGAAATGGCAAAACCCGTGACCCGTACATCATGTTTGGGTCATGTCGGTTTAAACGTAAAAGGCAGACCGTGTCAGGAGAGACTCATGGAAAAGTCTATTTTGAAATGAATAAACTATCCTATTATATATTTCCTTTTCTTTCAATGTGTGTAATTTGGTACGCAACATAATGGGTTTTTAAAAGCAGAGCCCTGGAACGGTCGTAATGATACCAACTAATGCCCAAATGTGGTACAGTACCAGCATCGCATATCCCATTCACGGGGACTGAGGTGTAGGTGGATATGTGCCAAAAGGTTAGATATGTGACCATCTATAGAGAATTACAGGGTGGATATGTGACTAAAGGTTAGATATGTGACCATCTATAGAGAATTACAGGGTGGATATGTGACTAAAGGTTAGATATGTGACCATCTATAGAGAATTACAGGGTGGATATGTGACGAAAGGTTAGATATGTGACCATCTATAGAGAATTACAGGGTGGATATGTGACTAAAGGTTAGATATGTGACCATCTATAGAGAATTACAGGGTGGATATGTGACGAAAGGTTAGATATGTGACCATCTATAGAGAATTACAGGGTGGATATGTGACTAAAGGTTAGATATGTGACCATCTATAGAGAATTACAGGGTGGATATGTGACTAAAGGTTAGATATGTGACCATCTATAGAGAATTACAGGGTGGATATGTGACTAAAGGTTAGATATGTGACCATCTATAGAGAATTACAGGGCGGATATGTGCCAAAAGGTTAGATGTGACCAT